TTTATGGTACGCATGTTTTGTCTGCATGTCTGTGCGTCATGTGCGTGCATGGTGCTCGCAGCAGCTAGAAGAGGGTCTCAGGGTCTCTGATGTTGGAGTTACAGATGCTTACGAGCCACTGTGTTGGTGCTAGGAATTGTACCCAGGTCCTCTAGAAGAGCAACAAGAGCTGTTAGCTCCAAGCCATCTCTCCAGCCCCAAGACTGGGGTTGTTGTTGTGATAGTAACACTTGAGGGTCCCCAAGGGAAAGAAGCGCCCGGACAAACTTTGTGGTCTGAAACCCACTGGCATGTGACAGAGGCCCTGGTGGATGGATGGGTATTCAGAGGGCTGTCCCATCTTGCCATTTGTCCTTTTTGGAAGGTTTTGTATTCACTTTTATCATTGACATTAGCAATGAAGCTGACCAGGCCCCAAGCTTGGGGGATGCAGCCACAATTTCTTCTTTTTCTTGTATTTTCCCCATCATCTTACTCAGCAGCCTCAGCCCTGCTGTGACACCCAGAGTGTATCGTTTTGAAATGTGGTAACTGCCCTGGAGCTGGCTGAGAGAGAGGTACAGGTTAGTGGTGATTTTTGTTCCATGTGGATCTTTGACAGTCAAAAAATGTAAAGAAAGCAGCATTCTTATTTCCAACATGAAAACGTACATGCTGTTCCCTGGCCAGATGGGCAGTTGGATGGAGCTGCTTCCAGAGGCTATGACTGTAAATGCAGGTCCTGTGAGCCGTAGTGGGGGCCATGGTCTTCTGGGGCCATGGGAGGACTTCAGTTAGGTTAAATCATGTCCAGGAAAAGGTTTGCTTCCTTTTTTGCTCTTCATTTCCTGGTGCTGGATTGGAACGAAGGCCTTGTGCATGTTAGGCCAAGTGCTCTACCACAGAACTACAAAGGCCAGCTTCTCCTGTAACAGAGTGGCTCATGGAGTTAAGTTTGATCTGGTATCACCTTCATTTAAAGCATGGCCCTTCATGGACTGTGTTGTTATGATAGTCCATGATTCTTACCTTGGAGGAGCCATGTTCTATGTCCCATAGCACAGCAGAATGTGATAAAGGAGAAAGCCATGGTGTCCCATTGCTACTTTTCAACAATTCAGGCCCGAAGCCCATCCCAGTGTTAGTACTTATGTAAACACTCGGCCAGGGAGAGAATGAGCTTGAGAATGCTCACATTCTGATCAGCATTTCTTACATGAGTTGCTAGAGGAAACGCTTACAATTTTGTTGGTTTCAAAAATGGAATTCCTGTAGAAAGGTCACTGTGCTGTCAGCCCCTGTCATTTTTAACCTCCTTAGCCCAGAGCTCATCTACAGTATGTCAGGTCTGGACTGCTGCCCTGGCCATAAAAGGCAAAGAATGTGGAAAGCCGTGCTCCATCAGCACTTCATCCCATGTGCCATGTGCTTGAGTTCACAGTGTCAGCCGGGGATGTTAACACATTTTCTCCTGTAGTTTGACTATGAGGCAAGACTCCACAGCTTTGCCAGGAGCTTAAATCCTAGGCATTATCTCAGAACACACCTTAGGCTATCTACTTTTGAAACATTTCTTGGCAGTCACAGGAACCCTGGAAGCTCATCTTAGCCCCTGGATTTTGACTGAGGGGGTGGCAGCAAATCAGGTGTGACTTGGCATGTTTCAGGTCTCTTCACTGATATTTGGTGGGCAGCCTGGCAGCAGTAGCCAGGGGCTGAAGTATGTCCGAGTAGGAAGGACAGGATTGGAGTTTTGGGGTTTGCCTTGGCTTCTTGGGAAGATATTTGTGAAGGAAGAGGCCCTGTGAAGTTTTATCTAGGAGGACAACTGCAGGAGAGAACACAGCTGGCAAGGCACCACAGCAGCAGTGTACTGGGGTACTCATGGTGTGCCTCCTAATTTCTCAAGTGCCTGGACAAAGCAGGGAGATCAGTGGTATATCAAGATCTCATACACACACGCATGCACACACACGTGGGAGACACTAAACAAACGGCCTGTGGTTTCCATCCTTGCCTTGTTTGAGTAGCTCTTGGTGTACTAAAAAGAAGAGAAAAGCTGCACCTTTTGGGAGCCAGAGTGCTCTAGTGCACCTCCTCACAGGAAACTGGTCTGAATGCTGTCTTAGTCACTGCCCTGTGGCTGTGTAGAGATACCATGACCAAGGCAGCTCCTAAAAGAGAAAGCATTAACTGGAGGCTGTTTATAGCTTCAGAGTCTCAGTTCATTGTCATTTTATCAGGGAACAACATGGCAGCATACGTGACACCTGAGCAGTAGCTGAGATCCGTGTCTTTAAACACAGGTAGAGTGAGAAATGGGCCTAGTGTGGACTTTTGAAACCTCAAAGCCCACCCCCAGTGACACAGTTTCCCCAAAAGGCCACACCTTCTCCAACAAGGCCACACCATCTAATCCTTCTCAAGTAGTGCCACTCCCTGGTAGCAAAGCATTCAAATATTATGAGCCAGTGGGACCGTTCTTATTCAAATCACCATAAGGGGCATTGTGGAAGGGAGCAGGAGTTGCCAAAGCACTGTTTCCCAAGGGAGTCGTTTAACAACAGCTTAAGAAGCACTCACTGCCAGGATGAAGGGCAGGCTGACGTTGAGAAATGAAATTCTTAGATTTTTCCGGAGCACTTACTATCCCTGCTCAGAGCCAGAGACAACTAACTGGGAAGGCAGCTAATGGGACTGGGAGCTGGGGGTGTTGTATACTGCCCCACTTGGAGAGCATCAGAACGGGGAGAATTAGAAAGTGTGAGCTGAAGTTGCACGTGGGAGTTTTGCTGGGACTTGTTCTTGAATGTGTTGTTGGTCCATGGCAGCATTTACAGTTGACTTTATTTTGAAAGCCTGATTCTTCCAAAAAAAGAAAAGATGGAGTCTGCTCAGTGACCCATAAGACAACTAGCTACAGCTTGACCCGGTCGCCTGTCAGTCACTAAGCTGTGTCATTCTGCTGCCCCTTCAGGCCCTTGTTCTAAGGCAGTCCTGTCTTGTATTTGGGAACTCAGAGGCTTTGTCTGCTCCCTCTGTTGATTATTTAAACCTCTTGGCCTACTAGATTTTTATTTACTCTGCTTTTGAGACAGGATCTCTCTTTGTAGCCCAGATGGGCCTTGAATTTGTGATCTTCTTGCCTCAGCCTTCCAAAGTACTGTGATTAGTAGTAACATTATGCCCAGAAAGAGATCATTGGCTTTATGCTTTAGGCAAATGTCACTTAAGTGTTGGTGTAAGCAGGTGGAGGGGACCTTGGACTTGTAGAGCCCAGGCTTGAAGGCATCTGCCATTGCAGGAGTGAAAGTATTGCCTGAAGCCCAAATTTGAGGAAGATTTCTATACCTGTGTTTGTTCTTGTGAACTGTGCTGGGGGTTGTAGGGTGTGGCGGGTGCAGAGTGAGGCGAATGGATCCAGAGCATCCGATTGGTTGGAAGAGTCTTCATTACTAGTTTACTTAAGCCTTCAAGCTAAGCTAAGCTCTAGTGTGCCTAGGCATTTGGCATTGAAGAACTGAGAATTACTGCTGGGTGTGGTGGCGCACGCCTTTAATCCCAGTACTCGGGAGGCAGAGGCAGGTAGATCTCTTGAGTTTGAGGCCAGCCTGGTCTACATATTGAGTTCTAGAGCAGTCAGAGCTACTTAATGAGACTCTATGCTGTCCCTGCACTTTGGGCAGGGAAAAAGGACGCATGTGTCTCATATGACAGTACAGAAGAAGCATGCTAACCCCTGACCTCTGAGTCTTACCCACTGCTGTGGGTGGGACTCCTCTAAGAAAGTCTTTAACCTGCATGGGCCCAGCCTCAGGAGCCTCCTTATAATATGCCTTGTGAGGGGAAAATAAGCCTAGAAGGGGTTTCTAAGCCTCAGACTTCACATGGCCCAGTAGTTTCCCATACAGATGTATCAGAAGGTATTTGTGAGCTGACGACAGAAAATATGGGTCACTGGGAGCCATCGTGTAGAGGATTGTGGAAATCTGATGTGGCTGAGGTGAGTGTGCACAGAACAGCTGTTTGGAGAGCACAGGTTTGGGTAAGATACCTGTTCTCTGGGTGCTTAGTGATTTTCTGCGGCGGGTGGAGCTCAGCTAGGAAGTGGAGGGGCAGAAGTAGCCTTGCTAGGACCAAGAGAAGCAGCTTGAGGGAGTCCTGAGTGAATAGACTACGGGCAGTGACGTGCGCAGAGGTCAGGAAGGGAGAGGATGAATTTGGAGTCAGCTCTGAGCAGTTGTGGGGATGGTGGGCACAGTGTACCTTCTCAGTGGAAGGGTGTGAAGGACTGGACTCTGGAGGTGCGGCCCTAGAGAACTAGCACAGGCTCCTAGGAGGCCTTTTCAAGGACTGCGGCAGTGAAGGGGTCTTGGACCCAGGTGGTGACAGGTGGGTATTTTGAGCCTTGTAGAGAGCTTGTTTCCGAGTGATCAGTCTGGGGTGGTCTATAAGCTTTTAGCACAAAAGGTGTACTTTTGTAATCATTTGTCTAGCTTTGTCCAGAGCAGTGGCTCTCACCCTTCCTAACGCTGTGAGCCTTTAATATACTTCCTCATGTTGTGGCGACCTCCGGCCATAAAACTATTTTCACTGCTACTTCAGAACTAATTTTGATACTGTTATGAATATTAATGTAATTGTTTTTGAAGATGGGGTTGTGACCCACTGTTGAGAACCACTGGTCTAGCTGAAGTCCTCAAAAGTCTCAGGAACACCTGTATTTTTACACAGCTGTTGAGGACAAGTTCAAAGAATACAAATATGGCACTGCTCTTTACTTCCCACCTTCATGTGCTGGGTTGAAGTCCTCCCACGGGCTCTCAGCAGTTGACAAATTGGTTGTTTCTTTATTAAGCTGGACTTTTGGGTGGTTGGCAACTGCAGGTGGTGGTAGACCTGAGGAGCAGGGCCAGTCTGATTGGGGAGTGCAAAGCAGGTGGGTGGAGCTAGCAGATTGGCTGGTGGGCTAGCCCAGCAGCCCGCACAGCATAACCCAGTGTCTCCCCTTGTCTTCCTAGGAGTATAAACAGAAGCTTGCACGAGTAACCCAGGTCCGCAAGGAACTCAAGTCCCACATTCAGAGTTTGCCGGACCTCTCACTGCTGCCCAACGTAACAGGGGGCTTGGCACCTCTGCCTTCTGCTGGTGACCTCTTCTCAACTGACTAGGACAGGTATCACGCTCCAGGGTCCCATGTGTGCCAGAGAAAAGAAGCAAGTCACTGTTGGACACAGCCTTCTGGCCCTGGCTCCACCTCTTCAGCCAGCATTCGCCTCAGGAATGAAGCAGGGGACTGTGACTCATTCTCCAGCTCCTCCTGAGCACAGTTAAGAGCCGTGCAGTTGGACTCAAAGTTGGACTCAGTTTTGACTCGTATTTGCTAAGAGTACTGACTCTTCCCCCAACTCATGTTCTCGTGCCCTGTTGCTTTTCCATTCTTAGCACTCTCTTACTCCCGTAAGCCATGAAAATCATGTGTATTTCTGGAAGCTTTCAAAAGAATCTTTCCCCAAGTGACAACACATGTCATAGAAGTAACCCCTTTCTGAGCTAGGCTTGACCATGTTCAGAACAGGCTCCCAGTGAGGGACTCAGGCTGCAGGCATTGGCTCTCCTGGCTACCATCTGCCCACAAGGTTGGCAGCGCAGCCAATAGACAGTTCGCTACAAGAAGTTTGCCAAATTGTTGACCCTTCCTGGCCATTACTTCTACTAGAGAGGTATGGTCAAGGTTAGGTGTGTTTGTTTTTCAAGCAATCTAGAGAATCTAGTAGTAAGATTCAAAGCTGATCTGGGACGTAAAGTCACAAGTCAGTTGCCTGGTTTCTCCCCTCAGCCTTCCCATGCCACACATCTCAAGGGTCCCTGGTATCAGCACCTCCCTAAATTAGGACCCTCTGCCCCCTGGTGCTGTGAAGATAGCTGTTCTGGGTGTCATGCCTCGGGCGGAGGATGCTCCACAGGTTGTACCTGGGCTTTTGTTGTTGCTGTTACCCTTCCTTTGGGGACTGGAGTATACGCCAACTCCACCACGTGGGCGTCCATCCACAGTGCGGTGACTAAACCTGAGCAGCTCTGCAGATAGGACACTGAGCACGCCAGGCAGTTCATGCTGCTCTGTGCTTCCATGTTCCCGTGCAAGGAAAGGAGTCTTTATACAAACAGCTCACCTCCAGCAGAGGAAGGGGATGTAGGGAGACTAATTTGGGGTTTTAATTCCATTATCATGCCAGCCGACATTGTGACTGAATGATGTAATGAGGATTTTTATCTTATGTCTAGTAAAGATAGGGCTTGAACCTGAAAAAATCTTTCTAATTTGGCAGGCTTATTTTTGACATTGGAAAGGCAAAAATCATTTTGCCCTGGTAGTATAATAGGAATTAGAGCCCGAAGCTGAAGTCCAAAATCCATAAGAAGGAATTCAGTGAAGGGGCCTGAGAAGCTTCGTTATTTTGAGTTGCTGTTTTTAGGATCACCAAAAAAAGCACACGTCGTTTTACATGTTAAAGCAAACCTGTGTGTCACCAAGTGGGCAGCCCTCAGTGTGGTAGTGGTGGTGCCCAGTTCCAGTTAGAGCTGTCGTTCTCACCGAGCGCATGCTGCTGTTGGCTGTTCACTCTACCCATGGTTGTGTCAACATTGTCCCCAGAGGCTACAGTAGGTGTTTGCCGGCCTCAGACCAAAGGACTGTAGCAGCTCTGCTCTGATCACTAGGAGAAAATAGGACAACATCACATATCTGACCGGCAATCAGTGCATAATTCTTACAGCAAGATAAAGAAATGAACCTGTAGTGATTATGTAAGTGAATGTGTTGGCCTCTTAACCCCTGTTAATAGCAGACTTCTGGTGAGGAAGTTGGTTTTGTTTTAATGAAATGCTTCGGTTTTAATCTTCCTTGTCGTACCCCCACTCCCACCACCAGTCTCCCAACCGTGTGCTTACTCCCCTTGTTTAATTTAATGGAACGTCTTGTCGCTGAGAGTTGATCTAGCAGGTGGGGTGGGTGACTTATACTTTTGTGTTTATTTAGGGCATCCATAGGCCTAAGGTTCTTCCCTTTAGGGTCGTATTCCTCAGAAAGTCTTCATTCTTTTTTTGTTTTTGTTTTGTTTTTCTTAAAGGATATTTTTAAAGCTTAAATTTGTATATTAATTTAGGACTTTATTTAGAAGTATAGGCTGCCATCGGCGGCAGCAGTATATTCTGAGATGTCTCATAGATATATATTTTTGAATAAAGATGGTGTTGTTGAACAACATTTTGTGGTGTTTCTTCTCCCTGCCTTGTGTGGTAATTGGTGATCATCCATGGAGAACACTGTCTGCCCAGACTCCCCCTTGGGGCTATTAGCAGCACAAACTTAAAATAACAAGATGAACTTACTCTCCGGTTCTTTCTTGGAGCTTGATTGACAGCTAGCAGTTTACACTGTTGCAGAGAGAGCCAACTGCATTTCATCCTTGTGCCGGCATGGAGACTGGCGGCGTGGAAACTGGCGAGAGCAGCTGATGACTACCCCCAAACACGGATGGCAGCTTGGGAGGTCTTGGCTGTGGCATTTCCATTCACACTGCCAGGCCTCATGGGAGCCATTTGATTTGCAGTATGGTGAAGCTGCTGTAGGAAAAGTGCGAAATAATCAAAACACCATTTTTTTAAAAGGTATCTATGGACCTCCAGCTAGTGTTGACATCTAGTTGTAGACCCAGTAACTGAGTATTCCTGGTTAAAACTCAAAGTAATAAAGAAGGCCCTGGAAATGGGGTGCTCTGAAGCAACCAATGTGTTTGGAGGATGGTTACGACCGTCCTGCTAAGTGATGGCGGTGTTACCTCCCCGGTGTGGGCTTACCTGTTTCTCTCCTGATGCAAGAGTCTTTAGTAACTGTGGTCCATCAAGACCAACTACAGCTAAAGTCCTAGTTCACTGTCAGGAGAAGTTGAGACTACGTATTATCTGTGCCCTCTTTTTCTCCCTTAGATTTTTTTTTTCCCGTGTGTGAGTTTTGCCTGCATGTATGCATGTGCACCCCGTGCGTGTCTCGTGATTATAGAGGCCAGAAGAAGGCATGAACTGGAGTTACAGATGGTTGTGTGCTGGGAATGAAACCTGGATCCTCTGCAAGAGCCCCAACTACTCTTTACTGCTGAGCCATCTCTCCAGTTCTTCCCCAACCCCCACCCTGTGTTCTGTTGAGTGTAAAATGTGAGTCTCAGTAGACAAGATCTTGTGTCTCAGCTTTCATGATCTTGTTAATTCCTTTACTCCTATCTATAAATAGTATGTCCATAATTCTCTTGATTTTAATTAGCTTTTGGTACTGTGACATGATGCTGAGGTCCTCACAGCTTGAGAAGGAGTTGACGAATCTGCCAGAACACTTAAACCTTGGGTGATTAGAGTCATTAACTTTGTGTGACCTTTCTGGGCTTGGTACCTCCCTCCCAGGACCTTGATTTCTTATCTCTGAGCTGCATGGTACCAGGTCATTCCAGGCTCTCTGCCAGCCCTGAAAGCTGAGGTAGTTGTTGCCTACATCACCTTAGAGAACTCTGGGTAGAATGTCCTGAGATGCCAGTAATATAAATGAATAAGGTCCTGGACCTGCTAGATTGGCTTCCGTGACACCTTGGAGATTTGTGTCTACAGGAACACGGACCCAGAGACATTGCCAAAACCAGGAAGGTGGATGAGCGCTGTGACTTGCCAGCCGTCAGCTGTATTGGGCTCTTTTAGAAAAAGCATTTTCTGGCCTGGTTTTGCTTTTTCTCCTATAATAATTCATCTAACTAAACTTATTTCTCGCCGCCTCTGTGAGGCTTCCATTTAAAAATCATTCTTCCACTCTCGGGCACAGATTCAATTAAGTATCCATTATTCTCCTGCACAGTAGGTTGGGATTCATACAGCTTTATGTAGTGTTGAAAGCCCAGTTTGTTCAATTTTTTATACTAAAATAGTTATTTTGCATTAAAAATTTATTCCTACCACTGGCTTGATAAATATTAAAATTAGCATTATCAATCAATTCATCTTTTTTTAAACAAAGAGGTGGCTTTGAAAAGGGCTAACTGTCTTGTCCCTCACTGGATGACCTTGGGTAGGTCTCCTGGTCACTTAGGCCCTTGGCTGCTTTCCATAGGAAACCTAAGTTGCACAAGTAACTGCTAAGGTCCTTTGAAGATCTGAAGTTCAAGGCCTGGGCTTCTGAGCAATTCTGCCTCCTGAGACTCTTCCTAGTGAACTCTGTGCCCGCATAATACCCTCCATAGGTTTTTAAAGGCTGGTTATCTGCGTGAATTCTTAGTTATGGACTAGATAAGGCAGTTACAGAATCCCTATTGATAACTTAGCACAATGCCTGTCAAATGGGACTAGTGCCAAGTCAGATGAGCACAGTGATGGCTGTGACTGTTAAATAATATATGTAGATATTTACATGCGTGTGCGCTGAGAGGCTAGAAGTAAGGTGTGTTGGAAGGCTGTATACCATATAGGTGGTACTTACAGCAAAGGGAGTTAAAACCCCATACCCTTCTCACCCCTTCACGCAGGGGTGAGGCATTAGAACCAAAGGAGTATAGGGGGGGTAAGGATTCCTTCAAAGAGCATCACCGTCAGTGTGTGGAGTCTCACAGGGAGCAGTGGGTGCCAACATCCTCTTCCCCAAGACTGAGGCCAACATGAGCTGAGTGGGCCCTGTAGGGTGGCAGTCCAGTGGACTATGATGATCCCTGCCTGGCAAAATCTATACAGTACGGTGCTAGTAGCTAGCTAGCTAGGTTCACAGATGAGGGATTAAAGAAAAGATGTGCCCCAGTCTAGTGAGGCCTCCGCTCCAGGGGTCTGTGAGGTCAGAGTTGGGGAGAGCAGCGGCCACATTCTGGCATGCTCTGACCTTATGTGCTGGGTAAGGACCATGTGTGAGCTAAGAGCCAGGGAGAATACATCACTGGGAGAGCCTGCCATGGGGTGAGCCCTGGGGACTGGGAGAAGAGGGTGAGAACACCCCAGAGGACATTGTGGGGGCCAAGCCAGGTCAACTCCTCAGAAAGTGCTGTCTCTTGCTTTCCTGACACTCCTCAGTTCCTGGAGGGGTTAGAAGCTTTAACGAGAACACCCTGCCCTGTGCTGTTGTCTCACCCGCTGCAGACCTCAAGCAGTCTTGCCGTTTGCATTGCAGCTTAGCTCCATGCATGTAGGTAGCCGAATTGGGACCAGCTTGCACCTGCATTGCCAAGACTACTCCCCAGTGAAGTGCGGAGGCCTAAGTTGTCCTTTGGTTGGAGACTCTTGCCCACTCATTGGGCTGCAGTTTTTCCTGCTGATTGGAGTCTCACCAATCTTTCGTTTATCGTGTTGGTGATTTAGGGCCTTTTGGTCTCTGTTCACTATTCTGTTTCTGCTACCCAATTTCCTTTCCACAGCATTAAACTGTTAATAAGCTCATAAACTACTGTTTTCTGTGTAAATGTGGATACTTCTTTTAACTCTGTAGGATACACAAAGCACGATTGATCCATGCTGCGTGCTTCATGTGTGATGCTGTGCAGCCAGCACCACTGTCCAGTTCCAGAACATTCTCACCCCACTTGAGCAAACCAGATAGCCATGTAGCAGTCACTTCCAGCCCCTGGCAAACAACCTGCTTTCTGTTTCTATGAAATTCCATACCCTAACCCTTAAGGTAAATAGAATCACACAAATGTGACCTTTTGGGGGGCTCTTTTCACTTGGCTCAGTGTTTCCTGCTTGCTTTACCTGCCTTTGTGCCAGATTTCATCCCTTTCTAGAGCTGTGTGACATTCTGTTGCGTGGACATGCCACATTCTCTTTATCGGTTAATTGTTGGACGTTTGGGTTTTGTTTTGTTTTCTAACTCTTGGCTTTGTTGACTGAGCTGCTGTGAACTCGTTTTGGTTTGCACACCTGTTCTCAGATCTTTAAGGCATGTGCCTCTGCAATGTTTTGTTGACTCCCATGGGAGGCCTTACCCTTTCTGAGGAGCAGATGGGTGGGGTAGCGGGAGGGCACAAGAGATGAGGAGGGAGGGGAAACTGTGGTTGGTATGTAAAATAAATTTTAAAAATTTAATAAAACAACAACAAAAGGTATGTGCCTCTGAGTGTCATGTTCAGGTCACTGGATAACTGTTTGCTTACCTTCTTGTGGAATGTGCTAGTTCTCTGAGGATTAGAATCTGTAGAAATGGACTGAATTGTAAAAAGGGACATATTAACAGCAGGAGGCTGGCTGGTCCTCGGCTTTATACATGCTAGAAAGCCAGAAGACCCAGGACCTGCTCACCGCAAGAAGCTGGAAGCCTCAGAAAAAGAGGGACAGAGCTGACTTAGTCCCAGTGGGAGGCTGAAGACCTAGAGGCTCCCCCAAGTCACCGGTTTGAATCCCTGGGTGATGGTAGCCATAGTAAATGCACTCACTCAGAAAGCGTGTAGTGCGCACGTGCTGCTTCCTTCCTGTTCCCTTCTTGGTTCCACCTGTGTCTATTGAACGGTACTATCCACGGTACTATCCACATTCAAGCTGGGGCTTCACCCTTTGCCTGCTCTCACACAAGCCTGGTCTCTTGCAAGGCTCCCTGAATCTAGAATGCAGGCCGCTTTCCAGCCAGTCAAGGTAGCCATCGTGAGTAGCTTTCCACAGCAGCTGACCATTTCCATCTGTGCCGGCGATTTGGCAGCAGTCCAGCCTTCCTGCATTCTCCCTGTTACATGTCAGAGCCAATTCAAGAGCGCGAAGACTTCTGTGTTCTTCTAAGATTTAATATCATCCTTATACATAGTAAATGACCATTATAAATGTATATACTTCTGAGATAGAGGAGGGGGGTGGTGGAAAGGGTTGCTTTTGTTAAACAGATGGTTCCTCCTCGTGCACAGAGACCACCAGTCTTCTGCTCAGGCCTGCAGTGGACGGAGTGAGGCCCGCAACTATTTTGGAAGGCAGCCTATTCTACTTGCTCAAACTCTGGTCTCAAGTCTATTCCTAACTAAAAATACCTTCACAGAACTATCCAGAACAGTGTCTAAGTGTCCGAGTACGTCAGCCTAACCAAGTTGACAAAATTTTTTTTAAAAAAACTTTTAATATTTTATTTGTATGTTTAATGTTCATGAGTGTTTTGCTTCCACATGTGCCTGTGGAACATATGTGCCTGGTGCCCTCTGAGGTCAGAAGAGGGCATCAGATCTCCAGGAACTGGAGCTACAGATGATTGTGAACCACTGTGTAGGTGCT